AATTTAGTTCTTTTACTTAGAACTAAGCCTGCTTTGGCACTTATTATACACTTCTAACCTCAATTCTAAGCCAAGTTTTTGGCTCGCAGTTTTCTCCATTTTGTTCTTTCTTTGATGGTGAATTTTAACTTTCATCTCAAGGGAAATGATTAAAAAGAAAGAAAGGGATACAGGGGGTGGGCAAATCATCACAATTATGTGGTCCATGGAGTCCTAATAGAGATTCGCCTTATAGCTCGGACAAAGGAATACTGAGGGAAACAGCATGTAGGAAAAGGATACAAAGTCAAGGTCAACAGGAAGACTTTGGTGTCTGTGAGACACTTTATTATTTTTGTTGAAAGAACTATTATTGGCAAGACATTTGTTAAGTCAATCAGTAATATTTATTGGACACTTGTTAGGTCTTAGGAACACTGTTAAGCCTTTTACAAAGTTTGTTTCATTTAATAGAATAACTCTGTTAAATACATATTATTACTAGTTCCTTTTTACAGATTAACAAATTGAAATTTGGGAAGATTAGTTACTTCCTCCCAAATTTCAAGGTCAACAAGAACATGGTTTGATACCAGATTTCTGGGTGGGCTCCTGACAAACTTATAATTATGTGAAATATTATATTTCTTCCCAGATATCAATACCCGCTATTATCTGCTGAGCCATTATTTTATAGGGCTATATGAGAAAGGTTTAACAATTGACTTGTGACAATACTGATAGTTCATTGTGGAATAAGAATTTAGCCTTTATTTCACTTGAAATGCAAACTTTTCTAGGATGATTGTACTTTGAAAGGAAGGTCATTTAAAATGTTTCTATGTGGCTGATTTATAAGTAATTGATATGAAGATTCCTCTCCAAATATCATCAAAATGTAGGTGAACTGTTCTTAAGGGAAAATATTCAAATAAGAAAGATAAGAAATGAAATGACAAAGGGCAATATTGTAATTATACACACAAAGAGCAGACACTAATAACCTCCAGGGAACATATAACTTTTTCTCACAAAACCCAAGCGAGAAGGCCCAGTTTTGCAACCTACAGAGTCTAGTTTGGGTTATCATAGATGATGATAATTAATAGTCATATATTGAAATGAAGTATTTATTCTTTACAACCATTAACCCCTTTTTGGCTAGTTCTTATTAATTCAGTAACACTCTGAGTTTGGTATGTCCCTAGGTTTTCCTTCTAAGCGAAGACAGTACTAACCAGGTTGAATGAATATTAGGTATACTTACAAGTTATAACCCCATTATTAAAGAATAGTGTACCAAAGGAAATCCTGGTAACTAAGTATCATATATGATCCTTTATTAGTTTGGGACTATAAAAGAAACTGTCATAAAGGACATTGGTAGGACAGAACAAATTATAAATAGATCATGTATGGATACTAATACTTTACCAATATTAATTTTCCTGAGTTCTGGGTTTTGTGAAAGAAATGACCTTATTCGTAGAAAGCCATATTGAAGTATTTTGGGGTAAAATGACATTATGTCCTAAAATTATTTTCAAATTCTGTCTTGTAAAAAGTACCTATTTATAGAATGGGAGTGATAAAGTTAATAAAGGAAAATATTTGAACAACAGCTAATCAAGGACATGTGGCAGTTCTTTGCACGGTTTAGCTGATCTTCTAAAAGTATGAAATTATTTTAATATATAAAATTAAAAGGAAATCATTTGCTGGACTAAATAAGTTTGTGTTTTCACATTTAGTATATTTTTCTAGGCCAATGAATCTTTAAAGGAATAACTTGACACAAATTAACCAAACATCTTAGCACTCTGATGAAATCACTTCAAGGCAACAAGATGACAACCTAAGCACTGAGTTTTCATAAAACTCAGGATGTTTTTTTTTTTTTAAAACTAAACTCTTATGAAATTAGTCGGAACATGGCATTAAAGCAAATGTTCAAAAAGCATTGTTATGCCTTTGGCATAGATATTTCATGGGGTGATAAAGCTGACCTTCTAGGGAACTGGGAGCTATCCTACATGTTTATGGATGTGACTATTTTTCTCTGGGATCAACCCACCACCCAGAATCGAAGGCCAGTTAAAAGTCATGATCTACATTTGTCTTAAGCCACTGCAGGGAATTCTGTGGTCTGGCCTCTGAGAGATGCCATCTCTCCTCTTCCACAAGATAACTGAGCTGTTCTCCGTCATTTGTGCTTTGACTCAGAATATTACTCCCCAGGATGCCACAGTTCTCCTCTTCTGTAATAAGAAGGTTCACACCCTCCTGGCAGTCACTGAATATTGGTATCCAGAAAATTTACCTGTCATGTCTAATTATTTTTCCTATATATCGTTTCAGCATCAGAATAGGAAGGCTCAAACACGTCTCCAGGGAACATACAAAAAAATCCCAGGGTAAGTCAGCAAATGAAACTATAATGGGGAACTGGTACTCTATGTGCAAATGTAACCTGATTTAGCATACTCTAAGAGAGCCACGCAAACCTAAGTGTGTAGTCCAGGAGGCACATATACAATTGCACTTCTAAGGACCAAGTGAAATTACATATTCAAAAAATTATAGGTATCACTAAGGGAAAAGGTCTTTTGAGTTCACCACTCCTTCCCAAAATATGTGAAGAAATGGCTAAAATTCTTCACCTTGAGTTGGCTGCATTTTTTTTCTTTTCTTTCCTTCCCCCCCCCCCCC